GGGGCTGAGAGAGCTCTTGACAGAGACTGCTCTTGAGAGGACAGCTCTGAGAGAACTTGTGACTGACCGAAGGTCATCCAGCAGCTGTGAATGGAGGCGTGGGGAATCAAACCCGGTTCTCCCGAATTAGAGTCCGCGCATTTAACCACGACACAACAGTACACATAGCTGACACCCCCTGGGTTACATTGTTTTGTACTTTGTATCCTCCGGAAACATGCCACACCCGATTCAGTCCTGCTCTCGGAATTCTGGGGGACGGACAGTGGGTAAGCTCACCCCCCCCCCCCGAGCACAGCAGCTCGACACGGGGTGGCACCTGGAGATCGCTGGCTGTTACAACTGATCCCCGGACGACCAAGACCAGTCCCCCTGGAGAAAATGGCTGCTCCGGAGGGCGGACCCTCCGGCACCGTGTCCCACTGCTGAGGTCTTTCCCCTCGCCAGGCACCAACCCCCCGCCCTTCACCACCCGAAGGAGTCTCAGTGCGGCTGACAAACTCCGTCCCCCTCCCCACAACAGACAGACACCCTCCTGTGAGGCGGGCAGGGCTGAGAGAGCTCTTGACAGAAACTGCTCTCTTTTTCAAGAACAGCTCTTGTCAGAACTACGGCTTGCCCAAGGTCATCCAGCCAGGTGCGAGTGGAGGAGTGGGGGAATCAAACCCAGTTCTCCCAGATTAGAGTCTGCGCACTTCACCATGACGCCAGACTGGCTCTCTCTCCGTAGAGACTGTCAAAAATTGCCAATGCCGACTATATTTCAAGTCATCATGGCGGGGTATTGGGAAACGTTTTCAATTAGCAATAATCGTGCCTCGGATTAACCTCACTGGCTACGATAGTGCCACTGCACCAAGGAGAGACTCACGGCAGCCCCTGACTGTGTTTTCTGGTCTCCCGGGGACCCACCCAGAGGCAACCGGAAGGACTCCCGAGCCTATTCCTCCACATCCGAAACAACAAAGAAACCGGCCCCCACCTTGCTAGCTCTGCGGCCCAGCTAGACACAAGCAGACAGACAGGAAGAACAAACTACCCGATGGCTGGCTTACCTACGGCGAGGGCAGGAGAGCGCGCCAGAGCACCACCTGCAGGCCACTGCGGATTCTGTCGGAGCTTCGGTCTCTTCGGCAGGAGACCGGAACGGGGCTCACTCCGGGGCCCGGCAGCATCTCCCAGGAACAGCCCTGGGTCCCCGCCTCGATTCTTTCCAGAAGGCAGAAGAGCTCATCGTTGCTTCATTTCACGTGACAAGCAGCATCTTGAGGGGAAGGGGACGGGGGGGGGGCATATAAAACCTCGCCTGCTAGCTCCTCCATTTACCTGCCGCCACCGTCCGTGGTTGAGCCTCAGCTGCCTTATGAGTTCGTGGCGTGGGTTAAATCAGGGGTGTCGAGCAACTGGCTTGCAGGCTGGATCCGGCCCACGAGCAACTGGCTCTCTGCCGCTTTCAGCTCCTTTTGCCCAGTCTCTCCTATTTCCCGCTTGGCAGAGAAAGGAAGCCAAGCCTCCCTTCCCTTGATTGACTGAGGGCTCCTCCTCCTCCTCTGGGGAGAGGGGGGAGGTAAAGAGCCAGAGAGGGAGAGAAAATGGAGTCCCCTGGCACTTTTAAGACCAACAACGCTTTATTCCAGGTATAAGGTTTTGTGTGCCTGCACACTTATTCAGAGAGAGGGAGGGGAAGAGAGGGAGGGGAAGAGCGAGAGAGATGGAGTCCCATGGCACTTCGAGAGAGCCCCCTTTCCATTTCTAACAGATGGGGGGGGGGAAGAAACCTAACAGCAGAGCTTGAAAATTGCAATCTTTATTAGTAGAAGGGAGCAAGAGCCCAGTAGCCAAATGACAATAGCAGGCTTTGGTAATGAGAGAAGAAACCTAGGTCTCAACTCAGTCCCGGATGATGCATTGTCTTGAGCTTCATTATCAGTTGCAATTCAGCAGTCTCTCTAATTTCACTTTAAATTCCCTTTGTAAGAGAACTGCTACTCTTAGGCCAGCAACTGAATGTTCTGGAAGATTAAAAGGTTCCCCCACTGGTTTTTAAATGTTGTGGTTTCTCACAGCACTAGAAAGAGTAAGATTCCAGTAGCACCATAAAGACAAACAAAATTTGTGGTAGGGTATGTGCTTTCGTGAGTCACTGCTTACTTCTTCAGACTTATTTCCTCCTGGATCAAATTGAGACCTAGGTTTCCTGTCTCATTACCAATGCTGTTAACTCCACGCCTACTACCCCTCTGCATATCACACCTAATCCAACCACACCTGCTATTGCCATTCGGCATCTGGTATCATCCTTATAAAGCTCCTCGTGTTACATTTTGTGGCACAAAAAGGTGACACTTATGTCAGATCCGGCCCTCGTAACAAAGAGTTCAACCCCTCTGGGTTAAATGGTGACGTAGAAGGATGCCACCCTGTGGGGTACAACTTACTTGACCGACTGTGCTGAGACACTCCCACACACACAGCTCCACCCTTTGCCAGTTCACAGACACACACACAGGCTGCAAAGCTAACAAAACCTGCAGGGAGTGGCCCAACAGAACCTGCCTGGCTCCGGAGGCTCAGCCTGCCCAACTGGATGCCTTGATTCCACCTACCCCGCTTGGCAGGCTCCCCTGGACTTCTCTTGCCCTCGGGTTTCAGGAGCCCTTCTCCCCAGCCCCCCTTGCTTGCCGCTGACCCGCTTCCTGCCTCAGCCGCCTGCCCTGGAAGGGGTGAACCTCTTAAGGCTAAGTCTGGATTCACGCCCCTGTACCGGGCAAACGGCACACAGCTGAGGAAGCCCTGGCCAGGAGAAGCTGGGGGGGGGGAGGAGGGAGGATTCTTCTGCTTGGCAAGTCAGAGGGCACTGCCCGCATGCCTGCCCCCAGAGAAGAGAGCTCTGCCCCTTCCTTCCTTCCTTCCGCAAGCCCAACCCTCCCCCTCCTCCTCGAGGCCTGTGGCCCCACCCTGCTCCGCCTCCGTACTTTCCACCCACTCAAGTATCCCTGAGGCCCCCCCCCGCCAAAAAGGGATGCCGGGTGGAATTTCGTGAATGGCAGTGCCACCCCACCCCCACCCCCAGCACAAGGCGCTTCTGCCTACGCGGGGTGGGGGGGTGAGAGAAGTGCCGTCCTTTGCCGAACTGATCTGCGCAAGCCAATGTGCCGCCGCCTCTTGCCTCTGCTGGAATTGCCAGTTCACAGAAAAGGCCCCGAGCGACGCAGACCTCTCCGCTTACTCCAGGAGGAAGCAGCCAGAGTGACGCCACACAGAACACGCGCTTTAAAATCACTGCATCATTTAATGTCAGCAGTACAATGATAGGAGACTCCACATCCGGGTGACATTGTTGGAAGACAAAAATGTGTGATAAAAAAAGAAAGTAAACAGAGAGCCATGCAACAAAAAAGGTCACTGTAAAAATACCAGTACAATATATACAAACCCCATTTCAAATAATATTTACATTTTATAGCATCTTTATAAAGCTCCACCAGATGGTCAATTCTGTCAATTAGAGAAAGCTTCGCTTCAGCCATTTCGCGACATACTGAAGGGCCTTTTCCGGTTATTTGTACAAAAGGTCAGCCCTGCGATACGAGGGCACCTCCTACGGCAGAGGGTCCTCCTCCTCCTCCCTCCACCGAGCAGGTAAGTGGCCGGGCTGCTTCAGGTGTCCTTCCTGCTCTTCCTCTTCCCTGCCTGGAGGGGGGGGGGGCTCTACGCAGA